TTGCTGTGTAGTTAACTTCGAGGGTTCAGACTCAACAGAGTGGAGTTACCTCTACTATTAACCATTGGTTTGCTTTTGTTCACACCCAAGCTATGCTTGATCAAGAACTGCCCATTCAAATGTTTTATATTTAAAACAAAGAGTTGTGATTTTAGGGACGTCTTAGTTTAACTTTTAAGTTAAAAAAATAGATATTTCATCTGTATTGTTGACAGAGGTCTGAACATATTAAAAGGGAGGCCTATTTTTAAATGACATACTTTAATTTAAAAAAGCACTGGATTATGAGTATTCATGATGAACAAAATGATTATTATAAAAAGCTATAGATCATATTTTAATAAAATGAGTGTTATTATAGTTATATTTCATGGTTTGACAGAAACATTGATAAAAGATGATCTGTAAGACCCAATTATAGAAAATCCTCAAGGTGTAAAGATTAACAGGAGTTACGGGAACAATCTATGGAAAAGAAAGACAAACTGAGTTGTGGAAGACTCTGTGCAACAATGATTATGATGGCTTTTTAAAAAATTTGCTTACTTTGTAGTATCATGATGATAAAGGCACAAAAATTCTATAATCATTTATACATGGTTATACATACATAAACACTAAATGCACAGAAAGAGTCATGGTACCAGTGCTATTGCTCAGTATTTCTAAAAAGTATTCATCACAAAAATGATAGGTATTTAAGAATATATATATGATTATATACTTCTAAGTAATATCATTAATCACAGTATGCCATAATCATTTTAGTAATATAGTTTAAAGTGTCATTATTTTTGAAGACTGCATCTCTGCATTTTAATAGAGTTTGGCCTTCTTGGACAAAGATTGAACCTGAAGAGAGCTGGGAGAATAGTTAAAAACTTATTGACTTTGCCAAATGTTTTCATATGTTTCTGCTCTCAAGGAAAATGAGTTTTGATATTTTTTCAGCCTCCATGTATGGCAAAGCTAAATGAAAAACAAAGCTAGCAACTTTCAACCAGTTCTAGTTAAGTTTGGTATTCACATATTGCTTTGATCTTCTCTAGAGCTTTAAAATATTTTCTAGAGTAGGCAAAACTAGTTTCAGCACTAAGCATCACTGAACAGTAACAATGAAGGAGAGGAAATGTTCAGTGTAGGATGAAATCTAGCTGATTTTATTTCTGTTTCTGTATCAGAAGCTAGAACAGTTTTCACATGTTTTTGTTTGTTTTAGTTTAGAGCCTTCACAGAGCTCTCATCATGGGCAAAAACATGTTCCCTGTAATGAATACAACCAACCTCACTGAGAGTTCCAACTGTGTAGCTCAAACTTCACACAGTTTGGGGGCCACTATCAAGTCCAGGACCTTCTCCTCACTCCACACCACTCCACCCTACCTCCATGCCAGGGTAGGCCAGTAAAGAAGTTACTGGTACTCAGTGTGTTCTATGGAAATAATAATCACTATATTTTGTAACCAAGCCCACTTTCATACTTCCTCAGATTGTTTAATTTGGTACTAAAAATATTTTGGTACAAACTATTTTTATTCATATATGTATTTGACAAGTCCTTTATCACTTCCTTCTAAAACAGAAATGCTTGGATGGTATAGAACTTTAAAAATTAGCATAATTTCTGTATCAGAAATATGTAAACCCAATGAATGAAATAATCTTCAGTTCCTTTAAGTTGCTTAAATTAAAAGCAGTTACTACAGTTGGAAAAAACATGTATGGTTAGAATGTTTGAAGGCCATCAATCTCTCTAACCACATAAGCTAATGAGTTCCTTCTGTTTTCTTTGAATGAAATCACCATGAGTGGTTGGATGTTGATTTAACATAAAACAAATGGAAATGGGTGTTTCCTTTGTCCTTTGTAGAATTTATTTAAAAAAAAACAATTAGAAGTATTATGAATACGTAAATGATTTTGCCATTACTTAAATAATAGTATAGTTTGAGTAGTTCAACTGATTGCATTGAAGGGAAGGCATAACATACTCGGACTGCCCTTAATTTGATAACATCTGCAGACATTATTAAGCTTCTCGTTTCATTTTTTCTACCATAACACCTGTATTGTTATAAATTATGTTTTGAATTGCCATAAAATATCAGGTAAATTATATTTTTTGGATGTCTGTGCATGTCCAAAAAAGTGATCCTTTGTGATCACTTTGATCTAAATGATCCTTTGTCCTGGTAGGTTTGTGGCTGACAGCTTAATCTTGGATATATCGATGCAATTAAAAGCTGTTTCAATTCTTCCTTGTGAGTACAAAGAAGGTTGAAGTATTATTATATGTAAAATACAAGGAAATAATTAAAAATTATTTAATATTTAAAACATTATTCTAGAGAAGGAATATACCTCTATGTAATTGTAAAAACACAGAAGCTTATTATATTCTTAGAAAAAAAAGTGTTGAACCCTTTGAACTCTACAAAATACACATCCTATTGAATTGAAATTAAAAACTTGTATGAGGCATTTTCTACTCCCTCTAGTTTTCCACTCCCACACACTTCTATCAACTTCCCCCTCCCATGCACCCTTCTTTTTTGCGATGCAGTCTCTTTAGAAACATAGTGGAGAGTGACTCACTCATCCACTATGTGTCCAGAACATCAAAAATATCAGACCTGTAAAACGTAGACAGTGGGTTCCTCCAAAGATTTTTTCTAAGAGAGTTAAATAAATAAGTAAATAAGCCAACATATGGCCAGTTTAATTCAGGCAAAAATTACTATTGATTACTTACTAAGCTTACTAAATAAAAACTTCAGACCAAGTTTTGCCTCCCAAAAGAAAATAGGATTAGACTGATCTATGCACTCATTGGGGCTTCTTGTGAATCATGCCCAGATGAGTGAAAAACCTTCAAAGATAAACAAAAGAAAGAGCTAAAATCTTTCGGTAAATGCAAATAATTATTAGTTTGATATATTTTGCTTTACAATCTTGAATAAAGTAATTTTAAACTCCAAAGGATACCATGATATAAATGACCTCCGAGGTTTGAGAATTCTCTATTTCTGCCTTTTGTTCAACTAAAGTAGCCTGATTTAATTTTCCTAGGTAGATCTGTTGTGTGTAGACATTTTAACAGGAGTAAAAACTTAAGGTACATAGTAAGGTTTCATACCAGCTCTGCAAAAGTGTGTTTTTTCAGATGAGTTTATACGAACATAAACTATAATATTTCAATAACATTATCTAAAAAATTCCAAATGTAAGTGTTTATGTAGTTTATAGCACAAATGCTCCAAGTGTTTCCTCTTACTTTTTGGAATGGTGTGAATGTTAAAACATTAATACATTAAGTAGAAAGAAATTTGATCATCAAGGATTCCCATTTTAAATTGAGAATTATAATTAATCAACCAAAAGAGCATGTTTCAGTTAGCTGCACTTATGTACTTTCAACTTGCAATTTTTTACAAGAACAAACTTGGCAAGTAGCTGGATTTACTTTAGTACTGGAAATATCTGGCTTTGTGACAAAATACTGATAGGTATTTAGAGTCTTCATGTTTTTTGAACAATCTGCTGTTGACATTTTAATAACATTGTTGTTTAAAATGATTTCTGAAGTATGATGACTACAACATACTCGTAGCAACAAAAAGTACATATTGTTTCTGAAAGCAATGAAGCTCAAGTTTCGTCTTATTTACCAGAGATTTAAATCTTGGAGAATCAGTTTTTCTTGTAAACCAATGCAAACGTGCTTTTTGTATTAGTATAATCAGTGACTTAGAACTACATCTGAAAATTAAGTCATTTTCAGCTCAGACATTTTGTAATTTAAAAAAAGTTCAGGTTTGATTTTCCTCGGATGCAGAGGACACTTAACTGGCTTCTAAACATTTTTCAAGCATGATTTCCCCGTCGTGGTCTGTTCTCTTCACCTTGGATGCATCGTTGGCGCTGCTTGGCTGCTGGCTGACACTTCCAACAGAATGTGCAAGGAAGTGTGGTCAAAGGACAAGAGCAAAAGCAGTTTCAATGTTAGGAAATGAGGGAAACAGACCTAAGAGCGAGTTGAATGCACTTGCAAGTACAGAACCTTGTAGTCAGTCTCCTTTCCTTTCTTTGCCTATCCTGGTGAATTTAATCAAAAACAAACAAAACGCTCTTGTGAAATATAGTCAATACAGTCAAAGTTTGGTTAGCTCTCTGTAACTACAAAGGAAAAGTCATCGCAATTTAAAAAATGTAACTTGCATTAACGAGCGCGCCGGAAATCTCAGGTATCAAAGACATTAACCCTGGAGCGTCCCCCGCGCGCCGCTGCCGGACGGAGGCAGCCGCGGCAAACAGACGTTCTTTCTCCTCGGAGCAGTCACACAAAAGGAGGGCTGCGGAAACTAAAAGTTTCGGGGCCTCCAGCTCGCTGCTTGGAGAAAAGAGAAACCTGGAGACGGGGTGGGTAAAAGACGCATCTTGGGCGCCTTTTCCAAGTGCAAGCAAGGAGAAAGCTCCTAGCCAGAGAGGGGAGAGGGGAGGGGGCGGTGAGCTGCAGGCCAGCCTGCTGCGTCCTGCCTCCGTGGCCGGAGCGCCTGGTTCTGCCGCGCTCGCCCAAATACCCTTCACCCCATTCCAGAAATAAAATAAATGTTTAAATTTCAAGTGCGTGTGTGTGGACAGGATGGAGGGCGCGCGCTGGCGGAGCGCGCGGAGGACCGAGCGCGCAGTGAGTGGAGTTTGGGGGTGGGGAGGGGGTAAGGGTTGAATGGGTGTGTTGATGGGGTGGGGGAGGCTGAGTGCAGAGCCGCCGGACTGAGGTGGGGACCTGGGGGTGTGCCGAACCGAAGGGGAGGGGCGCTAGCCACCGCAGGCCGCCTCCCGGGCGCGTTCCGCGGCCGTGTGCGCGCGTCCCTGGCCGCCGCTGCCGCTGCCGCCGCCCGGACAGCCCTGCGGCTGCCCCGCCGCTGGCGGAGCCGGGGCCAGCGTGGGCCAGTCTGTCCTCGGGTTGCTGCTTGGCCACTGCCATCCGAACAGCTCGAGCTCGTAAGTGTCCCCTTTAGCTCCCCTCCCCCTGCTTGGGCGCACCGCCGTCGCAGCTGCTCAAATGGAGTGGAAAATGGCCATTGGGCGGCAATGAGTTATAGATTATCTGCTCCACGTTTTGTACTTAGCTGCCTGTAATCTTCTTCTGAGTTTGCCTGAGCCCCTTGCTGGAAAAAAATAGAAGGGAGAGATTTGTCCTTTGCCACCGTACATGCTAGTATGTTTATATGATTAGCCGAACTGGGTGGGGGGGGGCGGTGTAGGTTGGGGCTCGGGGTGGAGGAAGCGGCTGGAGGTGACTCCAGTTCAGACCTCGCCGAGAGTCTGTGTCAGGACTTCGCACTCCCCCGTCTCTCTCCCTCTCTCTCCCCTCTCCCTCTCCCTCTCCCTCCGCTCTCACACACACGCAGAGGTGCAGGAGTGAAATCGGGAGCTTACCGGAGAATTCCTCGGGCTTGTTGAGGGGCATCTCCCCTCCGTTCGTGTGCGTGACGTGGCTGTTCCGTGCACCTCCCCGTTTCCCCGAGCCCGAGTTCTCGCCTTCAGCCTTTCGTGGGGCAGTAGCCACTGCTCAGCCTCGGCCCGAGAACCGAAATGTGAGGAAGGGCCGCCGCCGCCTCTCGTCCCAGGCCGCAGGGTCTGCGCCGGGGATGTCAGTTGGGCCGGTGCGGCCGGCCGGCGGTGAGGGGCTTCGCGGGACAAACTGAGTTGGCCGCGCGCCGCCGGCGTCTGCCCTCCCCTCCCGCGTCTGCGGCTCCTCGGGGACTCCCAAGTCTGCGCACCTCTGTCGGGCTTTTGCCTGCGCCACCCCTTTCGCTGCGATTCCCGAATTTTTAATTTTTCCAAGGGAGCGTGCGATCGGGGGGTGGTGGTGTGCTTGTGCCAAAGATCCCTCTCGCGGAGCAGCGTGTGCCAAACTGCGGGAAAATGTTGACCTAACCTCTGGAGCCGCCCGGCGCTGGCTGCTTGGCTGGAGGAGGCGGCAGCGGCGGCCGAGCAGGAGGACGCTCCGAGCCGCGGCGCTGCCTCCGTGCGGACCCCGTGGCTGGCGACCCGCTCGCGGCTGGCCGCGGTCCTGGCCGGCCGGGTCGCTGCTGCGCTTTGCGCCTCTCCCGGCGCGGCCCCTGCACCAGACGGTCCGACCCCGGAGCGCGCTTGCAGACTAAGGTAAGAGCCGCAGGAGCGAACAATGTGCCTCTATGCGGGGCTTCGGAAACCTGTTTGCTTTGCGCCTCCTTCCCCGGGGTAGATGCAGGAGGTAGGGGGAGTCGCGAGTGAGTTGGGGCTCCGCTGTTTGTTTATGTTTTGCTGGGCCGAGGGGGTGACCCGCGCTCGCTCGGGCTGCTCCCCTCCCCCCCACCTCCTGTCCTCTAAAATCGATACGCAGAACTCCCAGTCGGTCCAGCCTGCTTCTCTTTTTCTGGGGGAGCCGCAGTAACGTTCACGAGGCTTGAGTCTAGTTGCAGGGGGCGCCGAGGGAGACAGTAGGATTGCGTTGTGGGTATTTTGATTTGGGGGAAGCGTGCGTCGAAAGGTACCCGTTCACCTTTTTTCACAGTGCGGCGTCTGGGGCAGGGGGCTACGAGGCGGCCCCTCGGCCGGGCTGCTCAGCTCCGGGTACGAGGCCCTGCCCCCACCGCCCCGCCCGGCTGCGGACCGGTCCGGGTCTGGAAGTGGAGCGGGGAGGCCGGGCTCTGGGAGCGAGTGCTGGGGAAGTGGGCGGTGGGGGAGGGCTGGCCTGAGACGTCTTCGATTGTTGTTTCTTCTTGTCGGCGGTTAGGTGGTGTGGAGAGGCAAGGATGACAGCAAAGCGCAGCCAGATGTGGCCGGGCTGGCGCTGGGGCTGGCAACGATTAGGAACGGCCCGCCGGGGCGGGAGGGTGGCGGGGCCGGGCACCCGTGGGCCCTGGGGTGGGCAGAGAGCCTCCCGGACCCGCAGTGAGAGGGCAGCAGCGCGCCGCGCTGGGCCTGCGGGAGAAGTTACGGGCTGTTGGCTCCTGGGGTGGATCTGCGACTGAGCGCCTCGGGAAGCCTGGTTGGTGAGAGAGGGTACCAGGTGGGGAGCGGCAGGGAGAAAAAAAGTGTGGCAGGAGCGAGGGGAAAGGGGAGACCCCCGGGGCTAACTGAGCCTGGGCTTCTTGATTGGCTGGGGCGACCGGACCTTCTGTTGGAGACGCGAGGGCGAGCGAAGCGACAAAAGCGTCCCAGCACTAGGGAAGGCACTCTTGCGAGGCTCCTTCGTTTGGGATCGCCAAACTTTGTTCTTTTCACCGAACTGCGGGGCTTGGGATAGGGAAAATCTCTGGAAGCTTTACTTTGTGCCAGAGAGTCGCCGAACAGAGATCAAGGGACATGCCTTTCGTATGTTTTTTAAACCTCTGTTCACACTGTGCTCTAAAAGCGCAGTTGCAGGGACAAGTCCTGCGGTGTCCGTCTTCTTTCCCATCTTCTATGGACTCCACCCCCCCTCATCCTTTCCCCCTTTCCTGGCCCCCTTATTGTTGTCTCGAATTCAGACCGAGGAAATGTTTTCCTCCTGTTTCTTGAAAGGTGTCAGGCTGCTTAGCAGCTTCACCAAGCAGCCTGGGAGCATCTGAGCCTCAGCCACCTACCATATGGTTCCCGTTACGAAGGCCAGGTTCTGAGGCGCTCTTCTCGCCCCCATCCCAAATTACCAAATTTTCTTCTGCAGTCTTTACACTTTGTGCACTCCTCTCTTCTCCTTTCCAGAGGCGTAGCCTTAACGGACGTGGTTGGTCCATTCATTGCCTTGTCAGTGTTTGTGTCTGGAACGGGCCCCACCGAGTGTGCTCTTTGCTCAACTCCAGTTGCACGATGAAGAAAAGTCACATCCGTTTGGTAAATAATTGCCTGTTGGGATGTCTCTTACTAAATCAGATTTGATCTTGGGCGAACCTTCAAAGATGGACACGAAGGAGGCAATCAATATACATCCATAGCAGAAAATAGATTGGTTTGAATGGTGTCTTTGGCAACATTCCAAGTTGTGATGGGACTCTTGACCTAGGTAAAAGGTAACTTTGTAACTTTAAATTTAGTGTCTTCGTAATACTCGAGCAACCCTTTATAAAGAAAATCTACTTCTGTTCAGGTGCGTTATGGAACTTTTTGCTGTCCCTTCCTCCCCCCTCCCAGAAATTTATGCATGATAGAGAGAATACTGCAGAACAACTGTTCTGTTGTTTAGTTTCTTCAGACATTCCGATTCTCTCCTTTTGTTGCTTGCTTCTAAAAGAGGTGCCATTTCACATCATTCTGCACAAATTGTTTGAATTAATGCAAGTGTGAATTCTTACCGTTTGAAGGGGACTATTAGCATATCAAAGCTTTCTTAGCTTCAGCTCAATTGAGAAAACTTCAGCCTGTCTTCCATTTGCTTCCAAACGGGGCCCAAAGGGCAATGAGAATTGTAAAGGGTGAAAATAGGGAGGTGGATTCAGGCTGTGTTTCTGAACTTTTACTGTTTTGTAATTATGTGAGCGAAAAACATTGTCTATTGCTGTGGAGCCCTTGCAAATGGCAAGACAATTATTTTCTATTGATAAATGGTTTGTTCCTAGAAAAAGGGTGACCTTTTATTTTATGATAGTCACTGTTGCCTGTCTTTTGGGGTCCCTTCAGTGGAAGAGAAAGCTTTTCCTTTTAACTTAATACTTTTCTAGGGCCTATACTTTTGTTATATTAATAAAATGGGAAGAGAAAAGCTTTTCATCAATCTATAAAATAATAGAAGTCTTGTGGCAGAAGCACATTCATTTTTCACCTAGAAAACTTTGTTTTTAATACACTTGCTAAATTAATAGGAAAAATCGATGGAGGGCTTTAAATACTAGAACTCAACAGGAACTTTGTCATGCAGTTTCTGTTGCAAATGTAAGTTTGAAAAAATATTCTAAGTGATATGCAATTTTTTGTGAATTGTATTTAGAAAATTCTGTTTGAATATCACTTGTCTCAAATTTTGCATTTTATCAAGCAATAAATGCTTAGAATTTAGCTTACGGTTGGTTTATTTTTCTTACTATTTATAGTGTATTTGCTAATGCTTTTTTATATTTGTGGAATGATTCCTTCTTTGGATTTCTTTTAACAACTCAATATCCATGAGTAAAGAAACAAGAACAAGTCCTTGGGTCATTTTATGGTGAGCATATCATATGAGTGACGAGAGACCATTTTTCCCACTTTTGGGGAAGTATTGATTTTATTTATTTAGGTTTAATTTTCTAAAGCCTGGTTGAAGATGAAAATGAATCTGAAAAAAGGTTTTAAAAATTTGTAAGTTTTTTTGTACCTTTGGTGGTTGGTTGATTTTGAACATGAATTGGAAGCCCTTAATTGGAGGAGAGATTAAAAAAATAATGTTCAGATCTCCTTGTTCTTATTTCAGTAATAAAATTTACTCTAATAAACATTTGGAAGTAAAAATATTAATTGCCTAACATTTTGGGGCTTCAGCTTAATAGAATGAGAATTTGTTTCAGATTAAGATTTTTTTAAGTGGCATTCAAATTGTACATCTTTACTCTGAAATCATTTTATAGTAGTTTATTTATCTGATTCCTTCAGTCTAAAAAGTACTTTTGAGGTAGAAAAGTGTTACGTTGATATAATTGCTATTATTGCACTTCAGTTTCTGTTTAACTAGTTTGCTTTGAATGTAGAGTGCTATAAAGAAAACATCTTTCAGAGCTATTAGTGATAATCTAAAAATTGTCTTGAAAACATTTCTCTTCATTTTACTTCATGGTGATCCTGCATTCATCAAAACTCTAAAGGTGTAAAATGCAGTGAAAAGAAGATTTGTCAACATTTAGATGACAAAATTAGACTACTTAGAGAAAAATTAATGTGTTGTAGGAGCACTCCAGCTGCCATTTTCAATCACTGTGGGTTACTATGTGTTGGCAACAGAACACAAATTTAGAAATGCAGATAGCTCTGGGAGCAGGTAGTTGGAGAAATCAGAATATTGAATCGTGGGGTAGAACAAACCAATTACTTCAGATTTGGACTTGAGAATTTCTAATAAATTAATTTTTTCCAGGCTCTGACTCCCTGCTTTATTAATGGACTAACATCAAAGCAGAAAACAAGACTTCCAAATGTTATAAAAACTAATATAAACATACAGCTCTCACATGGAGTACTACAAGTCTTAATTTAAGACAAGCAGTTGGAGTTTTTATTGCTGTAATTTTCACAATCAGCAGAAACGTTAACACCAAGCTTCTGGGTGTTTCCTTTCTTAAAATGAGCAGGAGGAAAGCTGTCAAACCAAGGTTTACGTAGGTTCGGACCCCTAACTGAACTGCAGTCAAAGCTTTCTGTGTGCTAGTAAAAAAATGTTTAAATACTCTAATGTCTTAAGTAACATAGGAGTATGTGAACTAAGACTGAGATTTTGGGAAGGTCAGGAAGTAATTAAAAATCTGTACACCATAGAAATAAAATGTTACTGCTCCATTTTCTATCAAAAATATTTATTTGACTTGACATTAGTAAATAAATGTTCAAATGACACAATTTATTGACAGGTGTAATATGAGATGAAGAGAATTTTGCAGTTTCTTTTAAGATATGGGCTAAACGTACTTGTCCCTACCTGGAAGAAATCTGTTTTCATTTTAATAAAAATCCATACCACTAGCCCAATTGCTGATGTTTAATAAGAGTGCAGATCAGTTGCTCTTAGATTAGGCATGAAATATAGTTTTGGAAATTTGAAGAACTTTCATATGGTATTGCTATTTTTATCAAAGTTTCTTCAAAGACTGTGCACTTTGCCTCTTGATGTTCACTGTATGGGATTGTGTCTTGAAGGAAAGGTACATTTTTAATATCTACCTGCTTTTCTGCAAGAAAGGTTCAAGTAGAATAAAAATTGAATTATTTCCAAGCTAGTAAATTTACATAATTACCAAAAAATGTTCATTTAGTTGTTTGCAAAAATGCCTACTTAAAAACTGTACAAATGAATACTTTTGAAGAGGATTAAAAATAGGAATGTTATCGGCTAGCCCTGTTAAAACACTTGAAATCCTGTTTTATGTTTTGGTCATATCAGTTTTTGAGGTAATTTGTTTAAATATTAGTTCACATTACCTAAATACATAACTGTTTTGTAACTATTTTTAAGAGAGATTAAAACATTTCTATTTTACAGACAGATTAAACCCATAGTTTAGCTTCTCTTACATAACACTAATTAGTGTATAGCCCCACCCAAATATTCATCTCTTCCAATAATTCTTGATTAAAGGTTGAAAGGTTGAAAAGTGTTTAATCACCTAGATTACTGTAATTAGGCTTGATGTTATCAGAAAAATTGAGACTGTTTTCTGAAATTCTTTTACTACTTAGGATTGGTCAAGTAGTGATTATTACTGTTTTTTTAATGCTTTAAGAAAAGGTTAAGGAAATGCGTTATTTAGGCTAGAGGTAGTTAATGATTGGAATGAGGGAAATAGAATACTAAAATAATGGCATTTTTCTTGATCTACTGTGATGATTTTTAAAGGACCAACCGTAACTGGGGTGCGTAGTCCTTAAATTTTATTCAAGTCTTCAATGTAGTATTGTGAGTTCAGTATAAGTAGATATTATAAACTATGAGAATCTCAATGCTATCTTGATGTAAGTAGGTATTTTTAGGTGGATCATTGCGTCATGAAAAAGGGTCTTAATCATCTAAAAATACTTAGAAAATCTGTTTAGGTCACTTATCTGATTCACTAAATGTAGGCAATAATTTGCAGATACTTTCCAATCTAGCCTTTGCCAATGATTTTTTAAAAGCTATTTTTTAGAAAAAAATTAACATTTTGCAAATAAAAATTATGGTTAAAAAAAGGAAGATCGAATGAAGGCACTGAGCACTTAACACCTGCAAGCGAAGTGCAGTTTATAGCAAAATACTATTGATTGCTTTGGAAGCACAGAGCAAGTTTAAATACAATTTGTTTAATCACAACAAAAAAGCAGTTCTATGAAGTAATGTAGTTTATCCTCATAGAGGATTTGATGCATTTTGTGGTGGTAAGTAAAATCCCATCACACTTGTATAAATTTGATCAATTACCAAAAAAAGGCTAAAAGAAAAAAACCAATTTAAGTTCAAATTCAGCAGAAATTAGATTATCTTGGTTAGGAAGAACTTGTCAGCAGTGTCTGAATAGCTTAATAATATCAAAAGTTCCACAGTATAAGGATATTGGCATCTTTTTTAATATACATGCATCTCGTTTACTCACTGAGTTTAGTTATGTGAACATTTTTTTTCTTTTTGCTTTCTGTTTTTGTTTTTATGGAAGCTATTACATTTTTACATGACACACAAGAAACTATTTCCACTTACATAGCCTCATTTGCTTTAGAGGTTTGTTTTTTAGTGGTTTTCCGGATTTCTAGAATTGTGATCAGTTGATACTTCAGATCAGTGCAGTGAAATATCAGATGTGATTTTATGAATCAAAAGAAACCCAGTCCATCAGTAGGGATAGCTGGATTATTAGCAACAGAAACACATGGCATTTTTTTTTTTACTATTGACTCTCAAAATATACAGAACTCTGAATCTTAAACTCTTGTGCCAGTACACTGGCCTGGGGTTGATCATAGCAGATAGATAGCGTGGCACCTGTTTCATTACCTACACCCTGATTCATTCTGGCACCCAGATTTCCTGAAGTGCAGAAAAGGCACAACTACTGAACAGCCACTCGGCTGATTTTAGGTCACG